CCCCCCCCCCCGATTGGCAGCATCCAGCATCCATGGCACCCTGGGCCTAGGCTGGGCCTCCCTGTCCAGGTCCTTACTCTCATTCTCAGCTCACCCTCAGCTCTATGGAGCCTGGGAACAGCCCTGTCTCCTGTATTTTCTACTGCCCTTGGCCTGTCACCATGAGGACAATCTCCTCACTGGGCCTCCAGCAATAGGAGCCATCATCCCACCATTCCTCTTACAATCTCAAGGGCGCTGGTGGACCCAGGGCACTGCTCTGCTCCCCAGCCCCTGCCCTCCCCACCCACATTTTCCCCAGGGCCGGCTCTTTTGGGAACCCAAGGCTAGACCTTGAGAGCTGGAGGGAATTTGCTGATGAATTTATGACATTTTTACTGCCCAGTCCCACCTCCAACATCCCAAGGAGAAACCGCAGCGCTGAAGGCAGCTAAATTAAGTGAATTCTAAACGGCCATGACCCACATAGCTGAGGCCACATATTTAGACAGATGTCTCCCTCCCTCCTTCCTTATTTTTTCTCTGTCTGCCTTTTAATTACTTTAGGCAAGCACATCTCTTCCCTCCCCTGCCCATGTTTTCCTCTCTTCTGTATTTTTATCTTCCTCCTCAGTTAAGAGCTGTTCATGCTTTAGGATAGATTTTCTCTGAAAGCACCCTAAGCCAGGAGATGCCTGGGGGAGAGAAAGTCATGGGCTCAGGTGTCAGACAGACCCGAGTTCCAGCCCAGGTTGGCCATGACCAGCCTTCTGACCTTGAGCCAGCAGCAACTCAAACTCTCAGCTTCAGTTCTTTTCCTGTAAGATGATCTCTCTTTAGGAAGCATGAGGCTCACACATGCTAGTCCAAGGCTGTAAAGTATATCATACAGGGCCTGTCCCTGGGAAAGGCTCCTTCCCTTTCCTGGGTGACCCACTGACTCAATAAACATTTACTGAGTGCCTCCTGTGTGCGAGGCATGGCTCCCAGGCCTGGAGGGAACTCAGCAGGCACAGTGCCCACCCTCAGGAGGCACCTGTGGAGGGAGCAGCTGCTGGTAGGAGGAGGAGAGGCCAGGGGAGCATCCACAAGGGGCACCCACTGTGGGGAGTGGAGTGGGAAGGGCAGAGATGCTTCTAACAGGAAGTGACCTGAGGGATGGTAGACACGGGGAGGGAGGAGAGGAGAGGAGTGCGGGCAAGAAAATAGTATGTGCAGAGGGAAACCTGGAAGCCAGCCAGGGCCTGGGGCTTTTGGAGAAGAGAAATCACTGGATGCAGCAGGAGGGTTATGGGAGCCAGACATGGGAACTGCAGGCTTGGGGGGTAGGGAGGGAAGCATGTCCAGCAGGGTCACACTGGAGAGTCTGGACTTTTTCCCAAAAGCAAGGAAGCGACATGGTCAGGGACTAGAGGCCACTCTGGTTGCCCGTGGGGGTGGGCTGGAGGGGCTGGCCTGGAGGCAGGGAGGCACTTTAGATGGTACCTGACCTGGGGAAGAAGCAGCAGAGGAGGGAAACAGATGGATTTGGGCCATGTTTGGCAAACAAGTTGGCATTGGCTGGGAGACTGCAGGTGGGAGAGGGTAAAGGGTGGAGCCAGGGAGGACTCTGACTGAGTGGGTGGATGGCACCCTCACTGAGGTGGGGAACGTGGCACCCAGTGTGGGAGAGGAACACAGTGAATGCTCAAATGCTGAAAAGAGATTGTAATTCACCACATACGGTGCTAATCCCAGAGTTATTTGTGACATTAAAAATGGGAACAACCTAAATGTTCAACAACAGAGGACTGATTAAGCTCATTTGGCACATGCATCATTTTAAATATTATAGAATCACCAATGATTGTGTAGTAGAAAAAAATTAATAAATGCTCATGATCCATCAGTATGTAAACTATATATATAGTATGGAAAAAATAAAAACATATACACACACACAGAAACAAGGCGCACCCTCTAGAGAAAACAGACCAGAAGAAAATACACAAAAACGTTCATAGTAGTTGGATGTTTGAACAATGGGTGACTTTTATTTTCTTCTTTATACCTTTTTTTATTTTGCTTATTTTTGCCATTATAATGTTTCAATTACAAACATAACAAATGGCAATTGATAAAACTGAACAATGGAAAGAAGAGTGGGGGTGGAGATGGATAACAAGGGATAAAGAGTAGAAGGAAGGACAAACTGACAGGGCAAGTCAACTCCACGGGCGGGGCAGGAGAGAGGAGTGAGAAGGGGAGGATCTTCTCCTCTGCTCACCCAAAATTCCGAGTCAAAGGCCGTCCTCGGGCCCAGCCGCACTGCTTCTCCCCTCCCTGTGCCGCAGATAGGCTCTTATTACGGGAGTGAGATCACCTCTGTGGACATCGATGACGACGGTGTGACCGATGTCCTGCTGGTGGGCGCACCCATGTTCTTCAGCGAGGGCCGAGAGCGAGGCAGGGTGTACGTCTACAACCTGAGACAGGTACTGCTGGGTGGGGGCTGGCAGCCTCCCAGGGGCACCTGGCCCCTGCCTTCGCTCTGGTATCCACGAGGGAAACTGGGTCACCAGAGAGGCCAGCACCCACCTACTGAGCCAGGCCAGAGAGGCCAGGAAGCTCCTCTGTGGTTGGGCTTCTGTAGCCAGAGAGGGGGTGCTGCAGGCCAGAGGGGATCATGACCCCGAGGCCCTTGCCTAGTGCCCCTGATCAGGTCTTTTTCTGCCCCTGGTTTTCCAGACCCAGTTTGTTTTTAACGGGACACTGAAGGATTCCCAGAGTTACCAGAACGCCCGATTTGGGTCCTCCATCGTCTCAGTGCGCGACCTCAATCAGGATTCCTACAACGACGTGGTGGTGGGGGCCCCTCTGGAGGACAACCACCAAGGGGCCGTCTACATCTTCCACGGCTTCCAAGGCAGCCTCCAGAAGACGCCAAAGCAGGTAGCGCCAATGCATGGAGCCGGGACCTAGAGTCCTAGTGGCTCCTGCTCAGTCATTGGTTCGGGATGGTCTTCTGTGTCCTCACTAGGAAGGAATTCCAGTCTCCTAGCTCTGCTTGCCTTGTGTCAGGATTGTGAAATGGGTACATTTTGCTTTGGGAATTTCCACATCACCCCTGTGGGCACCCTCTCCCTGTTTGACTTTATCTCCACGACAACAACAAAGTCCCAGGGACCCGATCCTCAGCCCCTCCCCATGTGTTCGTGCCCTTGCCCACAGTGAACAATTCCTACCTGGGCTCGCTCTTCTCCAGAAATGCTTCATGCTGAACACCTTGCTCACCTCAAAAGTGGCCCATCAGGGGCCCATCCCTCAGGGTCATTATCTTTGCTTAATATGTCACTAGTAAGATAGTCTAACATACGACGATTAGAGATACTAATGGGTACCTGCCAGGTAACATGTATTTACACTTAATGGGGAACTCTTCAGGCACAATACTTTCAGGAGTCTGAAAGTATGACTTAATGGAAGGAATTTCAGGTGCAAGCACAGACCAGGAGAGGAGATAGCTTTGGGCTGGAGAAGCGTCCTGATGGTTTCAAACAGGCTCCCGCCAGGGTTCCCATTTGTATTTACCCTGTAGGGTGGCCCTGCCCCGCCCTGTTCTAACAGTGTCCAGTCCCAGCTTTTTCTTCTTGCTCCCTAGAGAATCGCCGCCTCAGAGCTGGCTCCTGGCCTCCAGTATTTTGGCTGCAGCCTCCACGGGCAACTGGACCTCAACGAGGATGGGCTTGTGGACCTGGCAGTGGGCGCCCTTGGCAACGCTGTGATTTTGTGGTTGGTTCCTTTGCTTTTCTTGACTCTTGGCTCTCCTGAGAGTCACAATGGATACAGGGTTTAAAAGATATGTCCCTTGTCTTTAATCACTGTCAGCCAAACTCACCCTGCTCTTACCCCATCATGATTACAAATCTCCTTTGCATGGAATAACTAAGCTATTTTGAAGTCCCAATCCCTCTTCTCAATGCAGTTCTAAGATTTTCGAGCATTTAGTGTCAAAAAGGCCCTCTTAGAGTTTATCCAAAAGTTCTGGCTACTTAGGCATTTCTTCATCTTCAGCCTTTAAAGCTACTTAAAGGCACAGATCTCCATTCTCCGCTAGTGTGAAAGAATGTACATCTGCTACAGAGACTGCTTTCCTCCAAAGCCCCTTGGGTGAACTTCTGGTCTCCTTTTCCAGGGCCTCATTTCTGCACCAACACTAGATATTTGTCATCTGTCTACACACAGGGTCTCTCTCTAGCAATAGTCTATTGCTTTTTTAAAAAAAGAGGGGGAGCCCGGCTGTGCGTGGCTCAGCAGTTGAGCATCAACCTAGGATCCAGGAGATTGGGGTTCGATTCCTGGTCAGGGCACATGCCCGGGTTGGGGCTAGGCAGCCAATCAATGACTCTCTCATCATTGATGTTTCTATCTCTCTCTCTTCCCCTTCCTTTCCTCTCTCTGAAATCAATAAAGATATGTTTTTAAAATAATAAATAAATAAATACATAAATAAATAATAAAAAGGGGGGGGAGCTTTCTGAAAGCCCATATATTTTACCATGAGATGTGTTCGCTACTTTTTGAACCAAAAAAAAATTTTTTTAATTTGAACATTTTTTCATATATGTTGATGGGATATTTTTCATCATAAATATAATAACTTAGAGAAAATTTGTAAAGTAAAGAAATCTCTCAGAGTCTCATCACCTTAACGTTACCACTATTAACATTTTGGCCTATCTCTTTTCAGCTTTTTCCCTCCTACATATAATGTGCTATAAATGCGATCACATTTTTTCATACAACGTATAAAAGGCATTAAACAGGGCTGCGCTGTGACTTCACAGGGAGAAGATATGCTCGTGGGCCTCAAGAATATTAAATCTTGTCTTAGCCTTGGTTTTCTAGAAAACAGCTAAAGCCTATGTGCTAATGCTTTTAGGGGGGGAGGGCTTCAGTCCCAGAAGCAGACCTGAGGGCGAAAGGAAACAAGCAGGAGGTTGCTGAACCAGCCCCAGCTGGCAGCCTGTGGTTGGCACAGCTCCTTGCTCACTGTCTCCCCGGAGGGGGAATACAACCTCTGCTTCCTGCAACAGCCCATCAAGGGGAGGGAGGGGTGCAGGGTAACCGCGGGCTCCTCATGTCCCCCACTTGCCGTGGCCCACACTCCCAGGTGGTGCCCCTGGCCCTCTCGGCAGCAGAGGGAGCAGGGTCTCTGTGGGTACTGCTGTGGACCGGCGCATGGCCTGGCTCTCTTTGCAGGTCTGCTCCAAACGTGGGGGCTCTTAGGTCTTCGGTGGTGGCAGCTTGGGTGGTAAAGCTATTAGCTATGTTGGTTCCAGTCAGGAAGTAAGACAGGTGACCAAGACGCAGGGTGAGGTGTAGGCGTGGCCTAGCGGGTCCTTAGGGTAACACATAAACTAAGTCGTTTACAGGAAGCCAAATAGGCTTGAGCATACACACCAGCAGAACCAGTCCCGCAGCAAGGACTGGATCAAGTTCTGGCTTCTGAGATCTCCAGGGAGGGGCTGCCTGAGTAGTGATGAACTTGTGGGTGGAGCAAATTAGGGAGACTTTATGGTCCAATCTCATGGATCTCACATGGGACTGACTGCCCATTAGGATTACCTGGAGAGCTTTTAAAATTCTCACTGCCTAGGCTTTGCCCGACCACAATAGTTTTTAAAGACTCCCCAGGTGTTTATCTCCAATGAGTAGGTGAGTTTGAGCACCAGTGATATAAGCTATTATGTTTACTCTGCACATTCTACACTGTCTCACTTACCTACATTGAGTCTTACAATTCCCATGAGAGAGGTCAGGTGACCTGCCCAGGGTCCTGGGAGAAACCAGCAGAGCCAAGACTCAAATCCACCCTTTTCACTCCACAGCAAGAGAAGGAAGCACCTCCCCCCTTATGCTAAAGAGCAGACCTTAACACTGAAACTCTGAACATCTAAATCACACCACACTTATTTCTTTTTATATGAATGTATGGTTTAGAAAGGCAATACATGTCTTTCCCTGAATAGGTTTGACTTAGACCAATAGAAGAGTAAGTTTGCCTTTCCTTGGCTGCCTGGATGGGTAGTGTCGGGGGGGATGGGTGTGGAATCTCTAGTACAGGGAGCCGTTCTCTCCTGTGGCTGCACACTGGACTCCCCTGGGAGCTTTAACACCACCCCTTCAAAGTCTGGTCCAGGGGCCATGGGCGGCAGCATCATTGTAGTGCTTGCTAGAAATGTGGCGTCTGTGCCCACCTATCAGATCAGATCTGCGTCTTTACAGATCCCCAGAGATGTGCCAGTGTATTAAAATAAAGAAGCACTGCTTTAAGACATGTTGATGTGATTCTGATTTAATTCAACCTGGAGTGCAACTTGGGCACCAGGATTTTTTTAGGCTCTCCAGATTATTCTAATGTTTATCCAGGGCTGGGAACCACTGATCTAAAAGTGGTGAGGAGGCCAGAGAAAGTCAGTATGGTCCACAGGAAGGAAAACAATGAAGGGCTGCCTCCAGGGCCAGGGAGGTCGCTGAGCCCACCCCTCATCACATTTTGCCCAATTCTTCAACAACTGGGGCCCTTCTCTGCCCCCATCCCCACGCCCTGCCTCACCCCCCACGCCCCAGTGGTGGTTCTTCAGATTCCACTTCCATCTGGCTCTCCAACTGTCCCCCAGGTCACAGCAGGGCCATCTTGGGCCCACCCTACCCCAGCTACCTGCCCTTCTTCTCCAGGTCTCGCCCGGTGGTTCAGATCAATGCCAGCCTCTACTTTGAGCCGTCCAAGATCAACATCTTCCACAGGGACTGCAAACGCAGTGGCAGAGACGCCACCTGCCTGGCTGCCTTCCTCTGCTTCACACCCATCTTCCTGGCTCCCTATTTCCAAACAGCGACAGTCGGTAAGCCAGGCCCTCCCTCTCTTCTGTGGACTTTGAGATTGCTCTGTTTCAAAACTGAGCTTTCACTGAAATGGGTGCTGTGTCAGGTCACACCTGGAGCCACTTTGATGACTGCTAGGTGCCCATTGGATGCTCTAATTCCAAGGGACAGAGAAGAGATGTCATGCCAGGGCAAGGATGGCAGTGTGCAGAGGTGACCAAAGGAAAGGACAAGGGAAGAAGGAAGTAGTTGGGGTGTAGTTTGGATCAGAACAGAGGACTGGAAGCAGTGGAGTAAACCGGGGTGTGAAAGCCCTGAGGTCAGCCTCCGTGCAGAGCAAGAGTCAGGCCCGGGAGGGGAGCTGGAAATCAGGGGATCAGGCGGATGAAGACCCTGGTAGCGGTGGGCGCTGCTCAGAATAGGTGTGAGTCCATAGCAGTGCAGTTTGCTTCTGAGGGTCCATCACTTCCCTTCCAGCCAAGGCTGGGGTCAGATACCTGCTCATGGCAGCCTTGGGCCCAGGCAGCCCTAGGAAGTGACAGCTACAGGTTCTGAGACCAGGCCAGTGCAGGAAATGGGAACTACAGAGAGCTCCTCAGCCCAGGATCAGGGCCAACCAGGCAAAGAAGAAACAGGTGTCGGGGGGAAAGATGAGAATAAAGTCAGGCCTGGTGGTGTGCCCTTCTCTCAACTTCTACCTATGAAAGGAGAAAGGTAGGACTGGCGGGGTTATGGGAGAAAGGACTGAGCCTTCTTGGCATCAGCGAAAGATCAGCCTGGCTGAAGGAGGGGAGGCTCTAGGCTTCAACCCCAGAGCAGAGCCTTCCGTTTGAGGTATTGGTGGGAAGCTGGTGGGAGATGGCCAGCCCTCCCGAGGGTGATGGGACCTGCCACCTGCAGGGGCTCTGAAGCAGACATGCTGGGATCCCAGAGCCAAGGATGAGAGCTGGGGAAAGGAAAGGGGAGAGGTGGGAACATGCATTGACTCCAGGAGGGGCTCAAAGGGGCATCACCCTGACCTCATGTTCTGTCTTCTCTTATACTGCATTCTTCCTCCATTTCTTCCTCTTCCCTTCGTTGTCAGCCCCATCTCCCTTCCTCCTCCTCTGCCTCTCTCTTTTCTTCAGGCCCTTTCTTTTCTCCTTTCTCACTGCATTGCTTGCTCCCTACATGGGAGTTTCCCACCCACATTGGGTCTCCTGAGGGAAAAGGAGCAGCTCTTTCCTGGACAGCCTGGAGGGCTTCCTGGAGGAGGCTGACTTTCCAGAGGCAAACCATCTTGGGTGGAAATGTAGCTTCACCTTCATGGTCTTGCCCTCTCCCTTCTCCAGGTATCAGGTACAATGCCACCATGGATGAGAGGCGGTACACGCCACGAGCCCACCTGGATGAGGGTGGGGACCGATACACAAACAGAGCTGTCCTGCTCTCCTCCGGCCAGGAACACTGTGACCGGATCAGCTTCCATGTCCTGGTGAGCCTGACACCCCGCAAACCCACTAGCAGAACCCAAGTTCCTATAGGAAGGGGGCACAGAGCTGCAGGGCTGCTGCCATGGGAGAGGCAGAGAGCTCAGCTAGTGCCAGCAGACCTCAGGAGGCCAGCCAGTGGGCAGTGTCCTGGACCATGGCCACCCCATACTTAGACCCCAGAGAATAGGCCATTGGGACACACTGCCTACCCCCTGACAGTACCCTCCTCCGAAATTCCTCCTTCCCCAGCTCTCAAGCGCCCACCGTTTCTTTAGCAGGGATGAAATGTGAGGAGGGAGGGGGCGCCCAGTGAGGTCCAGCAGCAAGAGCAGGGTCAGCCAGCAGGCCCACGGCTTGAGAAAAGAGTAAGCAGGCAACTAAAAACCAAGACCAGGCAAGGCGGGCGGGTGGTGTGGACAAGCTGGGAGGCGCAGAGAGAGGCCAGCCTGGCAGAGAGGGAGAACCCTGGGGGCCTGGGGCCCCATTGAGTGGAGAAGGAAGCAGATGAGAAGTTCACCTCACCCAGGAACTCCAAGTACCCAGGCCACGACTGCAGCCTCAGGGACACAAGCAGGGGACACTCAGATCCCCTGGCCCCAGGATGCAATGGGCAAAATCAGCAAAGCTCGCGGGGGTGAGAAGTCCTCGCTCTGCTAATAGGGGGCCTCCTCTGATGCGCAGGTGCACTGGGTCTCAAAGTGTGGTCCCAGCACCAACAGCGTCCCCGTCACCTGGGAAGTTGTTAGAAAAGCACCTTTTCAAACCCCATCCCAGACCTACTGAATCAGAAACTCTGGGGTGGGACTCAGTGTTTTAATAGCCCTCCCCACCCCACCCCAGGGATTGGGCTACAAGCTCAAGTTTGAGAGCACTGCCTTAATACAAAGAAGCCACCCATGTCATGTCAAGATCTGGGTTCCCTTGGGGCAATTTTTTTAGGCAATTCTAAGCATCCCCTCTTACCATCTATACATAGACCAACCTGAATCACCCCTATTTTGGTCACATTTGTTCATTCACGGGTTTAACACATTCATTAAGCCCCATCACAGTGCTAGGCTTGTGCTAAAAGGCTCCTGAGGGAGGAAGGCTGCCACATGGAAATGGCAGTGACAGATCTGGACAGGATGTGGGGGTGGGTGCTGCCAGGCTTCCTGGAGGCTGAGGTGTTGGGAGTTGGGTGCCTGGCCTTGAAGGATTAGCAAGAGCTTGGTGAGACACCCAAGCAGCCAGGTTGCCATACGCCAAACCCAGGGTCCTTTCCAAGGGGCACACTCCCCAGCGGCAGCCCCAACCAGGAACCTCCAACCCCCACGGGCAGCTCGTCTATCCTGGACTCATGCTGAGGGCCCACAGGGTGTTGCCCTCCTGACAAAGTCCTGGCCCAGAAACAGATGTTCCCTCTGCCCTCACCCCGTCCTCACCTTCTTCCTCATAGGACACCGCTGACTACGTGAAGCCAGTGACCTTCTCGGTGGAATATTCCTTGGAGGACCCCGACCAGGGCCCCATGCTTGACAACGACTGGCCCACTACCCTCAGAGTCTCGGTACGTCCTGGCACACGGGACACACGGGACATACAACTCTGGTGCAGGCCCAGCGCCCCCAGGCACCACCTCCTCCCAAAAGCCCAGACCTGATGTGACAGCTACAGAGGAGTTCTTCCCCTAGCACACCCTCCCACCTCCTGCCTGCAGACCCACAGCATGCTCCTTCCTTCCTCCCTGTGACCTATGCTGAACAATTTTTTGAGGGTTGGGACCAGGCATTCTGTTGGAGGTTCCCCCAAATCCGAGCACAGGGTGAGCATTGAGTGAGTCACAGGACCAGAGGGGCCTTAGAGCTCAATCGCCTGCCTCATTTACAGATGAGAATACTGGCGGCCTGGGAGAGCCCGGTCTGCTGTTTGTTGACTGACTGACTGACTGACTGACTGACTGACTGACTGACTGACTGACTAACAGATAATCTTCCCACCACAATAGGTGGCTTTAGCCTCATCCTTGGCTCTGGCCCCAGCCTCAACCACAGTTTCTAATCCCTGGCTTGAGGGGCATCAGAATGTTCTGAAATCTGACAGTAGATGCTCCCTGCATCTCCCTCTGCTTATACATCCCTCGAAGGAATGTCAGCCGGTATCAGTTCTGTGAGAGCTGTGCCAGGAGAGCAGGCAAAATGTGGTAAGCAGAGTATCTCAGACCTGAGCCCTCAGGATTTAGGAAACAACTCTAAAATATGCCACCAAGCTTTCAAGCCCATGACCTTTGAGGTCCCATCTCTGAGAATGTCTCTGGGAATTACTGTAGAATCCAGCCGGCAAACCAAAGTTCAGACACTCACTTTCTTGCATGTGTTTCTCCAACAATAACACTTCTGAAAACCCCCTTTGCTCCCATTCACCCCTATCACCCCCCAGCCACTCTGCCATCTCCCCTCCCAGACCTCCCACACTCCACCCCCAGTCCTCAACCTTCACACCTTCCCCCTTTCCTCCTGATTCTGAGTCACAAAATCATAAGAGAGGCTGCCTGAAAACGCAGCTAGGAGAGGGAGAAACCTGGACTGGCAAAGCCAGGGGAGGGAAAGAGCTGGGTGCACTAAGCCTTCCATGTTTTGCCCATCACAGTAATTCCGAAGCCATGACAGCACACGACTGAGCGAGCACGTGTCACTCATTCCACACGCCCGTGGAAGCACACAGTGCAGATTCCCGTGCAGGGTACTCTTTGCTCTGACACCAACCATCTTGATACAAGGTGGTGACAAGGGTCATAGGCCAGGTCGAAGAGCAATCAGATGATAGGGCAGGGGGACTTCCTGGAGGAGATGGCTTTCAACTGGACCTTATTTTCCCATCTCTGCAGAGATGGGGAGGGTGGGCTTTTACTCCAGGACCACTGATATTACAACCAACGTATGGAAATGGAAAATAGCAAAGTGAAGGGATGTATAAAGAAAAGGTGAGAAATAGAGCTGAAAAAGACAGTCTGGGGCACACTATGGAGGGCTCTGAATAGCAGCTAAGCTTCTAGAAATCCTGTCAATCGGGATTCTAGCCCCCAGCAAATTGGAAACATTCTTTCCATCACTCTTCTACAAATTCTTATTTAGCATCCATTAAATGCCCGCGCTGTTCTAGCGCTGTAATATCGCACCTCTTGGGGGGACGAGCCATTCCATATAATTAAGTATAACAGCTGCTTATCACGTTAAATGATTCCTTTTAATGAACTGGATAGGACTTTTCCCGAAGGTTATTAAGTAGTTTTCACACTTCTTACAGTGCACTGGGCAGAGGTGGGAAGACTTTTATTGGAGACTTAAAATCACCAAACCAGCATGGTTGCTAGTACACAGTGAAGCCCCCGAGGCTACCAAATGTCCTGAACTATGTCCCTTCACAGAATGACCTCTCTTTGCCCTACTTTATGTGGCTCTGCTGTCACCTTTCCTGGTGCTATTCAGCATGACTGCTTCTAGCTGAAAATCCACCCCGAGATGGGGAAGTCGAGGGGCGGGCTTGACAGGAATGTGTCTAAATTACGAGCATGCAGATCTAATTAAAGGCTAGGGAGCTCACCTTTGAGAAAAGTTAATGAATTTAAGATATGTGTGGCCTCTGTGACTCCTGTTTCCCCTCCCCCAGGTTTGGGCTGTGATCTTGGTAGTCACAGCTGCTGCTCCTCAGCTCCAGACTTGAGCACCCAACTGCCTGGAGGGGCCACAGGCACTTCAAACTCAACATGCCCCCAAACCAAACACCCCCTCCATTTAACCCCTCCACTTAGGAGTGAATGGTGTGGCCATCCTTCCAGACGCTAAAAGAGAAACAACTCAGCCAACATCCTGGGCCCTTTTCTCCCTTAGCCCTGAGGAACTCCAGGACCTATTGATCCCACCTCTGAGGTCCCTGACCTGTTTTCTCCTCTACACACCCACTCCCACACTGACACCATCATCACCTCCTTCATGAACATTTCAGCAGCTTCCTCAATGGTCTCCCCACCTCTAGTCTTGACTCATCAAGTTCATCCACCCATGGAAGCCAGAGGAAGCCTTCAGTATACAGGTCTGGCAGGACATTCCCCTGCCAATGGTGGTCAGTGGGTCCTATCAGTTGCAAGGCATGACCCCAAGGCCCTTAAGAACTGGCTTCTGCCCATCTCCCCATCTCCTCCACCCCTTACTAGAGCAACACCAAACTACTTGCCAATTTTCAAACTCTCCCTATTTCATGCCTTTGCACAGGCTCGACCTTCCTCCTAGACTTTCCTCTCCTGCTGGTCCATCCAGCTAACTATAGATCATCCTTCAGAACTTCCCAGAACTTCCCTGAAGCCTTCTCTGACCATCTACAGGACAAATTAACTGTTTCCTCCCCTCTGCCTCTTCTATTCATCATATGGATTTCTTTTTTTTGTTTTTTGCACATTTCACACTGTAGTTATTTGTTCACACACCAGTCTTCGCCATGAGCTGGGAGTAGAAGCTGTGTCTTCCTCATTCTATCGCGCTCATACGAAAAACCTTGCCCCCCGCACAGTAGGTGATCAGTAAATGTTCCCTGGAACTGCTCTGCCAGGGGAGTGGGTATTTTGTGCTACCAGCTGAGTGAGGAGCTGAGAGGGACCCAGGAGGAGTTGAGTTTTGAGCCATGTTTTAAGAAGGGAACATCTATGCAAAAGCATAATTAACAGCAGTGTGGTGTCTGTAAAAAGGGCAGAAAAGACAAAGCCCGTGACTGGTGCAGTACAGAGAGAAGCTGCGTGCTGTGGGGGTGAGGGATGGCCCACAGCAAAGATGGGGACTCCAGGCTGTGGGTTTCCTATCCAGCTGCCCCCCTGCCCCCCGGCTCTCCCTGGTCCAGGTTCCCTTCTGGAATGGCTGCAATGAGGATGAGCACTGTGTCCCCGACCTCCTGCTGGATGCCCACAGTGACCTGCCCACAGCCATGTGAGTTTGGCCCCTCCTTGCCCCTACCGACTCCTCCTCCTTCCCTGCTGGGGGAGCCGAGCTCCTAGGGCCCTGAATTATCTCCTACACGTCCTTTTCATAAGCAGCATGGATCAAACACTGAACTTGGAGCCTGGGTCTAGTCCAGGCTCTGCCTCTAACCCCTGTGTGACCTCAGGAAAGTCTCTTCCTTCTCTGGGCCTCAGTTACCTACTCTGTAAATTGAATACCCCTAGTCTAACCCAACCTCTTCAAGCTTTGTTTAGAAATAGAAATCCTTTCTTATGAGCCCATACTATAAAACAGACATAAGGCGGAGACCAGGGGCCTGGAGATCCAGGTACTCACCCTGCAATCACAGGTGAGTTTACCTTTAAGGTTCATTGACTGACCACTTGAGCTCCATGCTGGGGAGACCAGCAGAGGGTGCCCACAATCCCCTGGAAGAAACAAACTAGCATACGAGGAAAAGTAGGAACAATATCCTATTTGAAATTTATGTAATATATTTTCAAATAATTGTGCTCAATTTTTAAACAACTATGAGATGATTTAGATAGAGACATACACACCATGACATACGATAAATAGAAATAGCCCATTCAAACCTTGTAGAAGGATGAAGAATTAAATATTTCAAGCACCTATGCTAATAATCAGAATTATCTCTACATTTAGCTCTGAGCTTCCTGGCAGCCAAAGCCAAAAGGGAAACATGCTGAGTAGAGAGGTGATACATGAGTAGTGAGTTCTACCCCTGCATTCCCCCTTCCATCGGCCTCACCCCTGGTGGTCTCTTTCCTGCAGGGAGTACTGCCAGAGGGTGCTGAGGAAGCCTGCTCAGGACTGCTCCACATACACGCTGTCCTTTGACACCACAGTTTTCATCATAGAGAGCACGCGCCGGCGGGTGGCAGTGGAGGCCATGCTGGAAAACAGGGGCGAGAACGCCTATAGCACGGTGCTAAATATTTCACAGTCAGCAAACCTGCAGTTTGCCAGCTTGATTCAGAGGGTAAGACCACAGCAACCTGCCCAGCCTACCTGAGGTTGTGGTGGTGATGGTAGTGGTGGTGCTGGAGGTGGTAATAGTGGTTGTGATGGAGGTGGTAGTGGCAATGGTAGTGATAGTAGAGGTAGTGGTGGTGGTGGTGGTGGTGATGGTGGTGGTGGTGGTGGTGGTGGTG